AAATCACTATGTTGAGTACCTTCTAATTTGCAGCAATTCTACAGGGCAGTGTACAATAGACTCATAGGACTATCAAGTCTTATTCCAGTGGTTCTCAACTTTCCTAATGCCGCAACCCTTTAATACAGTTCCTCATGTTGTGGTGACCCCAACCAAAAAATGATTTTCGTTGCTACTTCATAACTGTAATTTTGATGCTGCTATGAATCAGGCAACCCCTGTGAAAGGATCTTAAGACCCCCAAAGGCATTGGGACCCACAGGTTGAGAACCACTGTTGTAAAGAGTTACAGTGTCTGAGACTCACCAGGGCAGTTCTAATCTGTCTGTAAGGTCTTCTCATAGTGAGAGTCAGCACCGTGGCAGTGAGTTATTTGAGCTCCCTTTACCTAATCACTCCCGTCCAGCTTGAGTGTCAATGCACCCGATAGATTATAGTTATTACTGTTGTTGCAAGATTGCCTATGGAACAGTATTGTGCTCTGTGCTCTGTGCCCTTCGCCCTTCCCAGCACCTTCCTTTGGCCTTGATCATTTTGTGCTCACCTTCCACTTCCTGTGTCTTGCTCTTCCCGTCACCTGAGTGAGCACTTACCTACCGCTGAGTGCTTTGCCCTCCCTTCCCCTTCCACCCCTGCAATCCTTCAAAGGACGTTTCTGATGTGTGCACACTTTTTCCGGACCTTTTCATAGTAGTGGTCACTATGGACCGTGGGAACTTCGGCCTCCATGACCCAAAAAACAGTAGTGGTCACTACTATAAAAAGTCAAGAACATTTACAACATACAACACCTGCCCTTTGGTGATGGTTTCGTTTCACATATTAGAAGGTATCCAAGAGTAAAGAGCTTTATACTTTTAAAGAGTCAGTCTAGACCTTCGGCCTCTCCTGTTCTTGCCATGTTTTGCACACACACACACACCTCCCCCGCCCTCCAGTTTCACATGCACACATATCCATAAAGTGACAGTGTGAGTGGGGGAACGCATTCAATAGAACACGGGCTGGCCTGCAAAATCCTTGGCCTACTGCTTTGGGGTAATGTGACCCTGGGTTCAAAAAAAGTGCCCTCTTTTTCCTATCAGTAGAGCATGAGAGATTCCATGTCTGCCTCATCAGTCCATTGGAATCGTCCAGTAAGATAATGTGTGTGAGTATTCTCAATATACGTGATATTCCTGGCCACCAGGCATGACCCTGTATGTGTGCGTGTGGTGAAGAGCTCCTTTGGATGGCTTTCTCCTTGTCTTACAGGGTCATTCAGTCCAAGTGTTTACACTTGGACAGATTTGAATTAGAGCGTGGACTTTATATCCTTTATTTTAATTCTTCTCATTATCCTAATCTCTGAAAACATAGTCACATCTAAGTTAGTAACTACTTAACCATTTCTGAACAGATGGCGGGCCTAGAAATCTCTTCTTCAGCAGCTCTTTCAGTAAGGGAGTCGTTTTAGACTCATCTTCCTTAAAGAGCAAAATCTTCTTTCTAGAATTGTGAGGCACCTTGGAATAGTTTTGTAACTGAGTCTTCCCATTGTCCCCCTCTCATTCTTTTGAACTGGTGGCACAGGTAGCTAGAGTTCTCAAATGAGCCAACATCATCTTTTAGTTTGTTAGAATGCCTGAGACCCACTTGCCACTTCTCACGTGACCCACCCGGGGCCTGGCCATAACGTGTGAGAACAGTCCATAGCAGTGGTCACTTGAACTGTGTGTACATTTCATCTGGGTCCAAATGTACTAAGTGTGGGAGGCTCACAGTTCTATCCCTTGACTGTCAGTGTTTCTGCTATGGTTTTTCTAAGGAGCACCTGCTGGGATTTGAACACAAAGTAGTTCTGTCCCTCTGATCGAACCCTTATAAAGAGTGACAGATGAAGTTTAGACAGAGTACTTCAAGCACATCATTTTCATTGAATCTAATCAGAAGCAGTTCTGATGGAAGAGTCCAGCATTTCTGTTGTGACATTCAGCAGCAGAGAAGGATCCTTTATGCACGACCCATCTAACCGCCTTTACAAATATATAGTTATTGTTTTGAGGATATCCGCAGCAAGGCAAGCATCAATTCAAGGATCTTCATGGATATGTTAGTGACACTAATTGCCTTCTTCTTCTGACCCAGTCTTACCCCATTCACATAAACTCACAGCCATTGAGTTGATTCCAGTTCTCCATTGTATAGAGTAGAACTGCTCAGGACTGAAAATCTTTACGGGACCGGGACAGCCCCATCTTTCTCCCTTATTGTGAGGGGCTGGTGGATTTGAACCACAGACCTTGAGAGGGTTGGTTAGTAGCTCAATGCTTAGCCCACTGTGCCACTAGAACTCCTTAAAAGAGATTTTTAAAGAGTACAATGTTCAAGGCAGGCATCTTTACTAATTAAGATAGACTATTGTTGGGTTTTATGAAGACTTCAGACTTTTTGGTCTAAAAGGATCTCAGGGGAATAGTTCATTCAGCACCAGGGCTCCAAAAAGTCTGGAGGCCATAGGAATTTGAAATTCTGCACCATCACCCCCTCCTTTTGATGAGGAGTCTTCTAGAGCACTGTTCATCAAAATGTTCAACAGTAGTAAGTAGCCTGGCCCCAATTCTTCTAGACTTGTGGCAGAAGAGTCAGCGTTCCTGGAGGTGGTTAGCTACCCATCCGTGTCCCCGGCTGTTCCTGACTTCCCTCCTTCCTCTGTTGCTCTTGGAGTAAGGGCAATTGTTGGGCCTTGGACGGCCAGGTACAGAACTTAACATAAAAACAAGTGTCATCTGTTTCTCTTATGTTTCAGTTACTGGTCATATTAATTTGTCTCTGGAGTTTTATGTTGCCCTGTCTTGATGATCCTAGAATTTTGATGGAGCCAGACTAACATCATCTTGGCCATGGTCAGTCAGTGATTGAACTAGTAACATTTCAGGTGTTTCTTTTCCTTTTGAATGTTTGCTATTCCTACTGCTGCACCATAATGGAATTATCCTTGTAAATGGTTGATTAGTCCAAGGTTTGTGTACCTCCCTAGTGGCGTTGACCTATCTATTATTTGGCTGAAAATTGAGCAGTTCCAACCGTGAAAGGAGGAGACCAAGGACCCCACTCTTGGGGATTCTGTCAGTCTCTGACTACTAAGCTTGGTGTTTAAATGATTTTCCATTGTGTTGCACATTTGTCTCTTACTCTGCATGGGACCTTTTCACAGCATCCCCTTTCAGAGCAGTTGGCAGTGGTAGCAAGGCACCCGGAGTTCATTTTGAATGTTTGAATGTGAGGGCGATGGAGGCGGATGTGTACATGGTCTGAGAGTCCATTAAACTGATGGCTTGCTTCCGTGTGTTGTCCTTTTCTTCACTCTTCTTTCCTTCAGACAGATGACCACTCAAGTTGTGAGACCCCAATTGATACTCACCAAGTAGGATGTAGAACAGTGTCTTTGTGGACTGTTTGAAGCCAGCTGACCTTGGTCCTGAGCCCTCAGGCCCCATGGCTCATTCATTCTCTGAAGGTGTTTGGTTATGGCTAAGAAGTGTTCATAACTCACCAACCTCCCCACCCCACCACCCACACACCCTCCACCACATTCGTGGATATATTAGTAGCATCAGTAAATACACATGTAGAAACATCCCAATTCAGGAATTTTTGGCTAAGACCTTTAACCTGTTTTACATGGTTTGCTCTTTTTTTAGCAGGGAGGGGAGGAAAGGAGTTGATCAATACAGCGGAAGCCATGCGTTTCCTGTGGGGGATTCACTGTACTCTTGCTATTGCTCTCAATTGCAGGTGTGTGCATCCTCGAGGAGGCGTGATTCAGAGCGTGTCTTCATGGAAGCATGGCCCCGGCACACAGTATGTTAGCACCCGGCAAACACAGTCATGGACTGCCGTGGCTCCCCAGCAGACGTGGTCTTCCCCTGCAGAAGTTGTTGACCTGACCTTGGATGAGGACAGCAGGCGTAAATACCTACTGTAATAGGATGTCACTGTGTTTCTTCTGCACTGTTCCCTTCCTCCTCCACCTCTTGTGGCACAGAGCTTATTGTCATAGCTTCAGCCTCAGAAGCTGTTTGTGGCATTTGTAGAATTGAAACTCATGGAAAATTATGACACACACACCCCCCCTTTTTTTTTTTTGGTAATTAAAAGAAGTCGCTTAGGAAAATAACTTATCAACAGAGAAAAGTATTTCTTTCATTATGAAGATAAAAACGATGAGCATTTATTAGACAATTTATTTTACTTGGTGACTTTTGATCTTAGGCAATTCTACCATTCTTCTAGAATATTTTAATTACCAGGTAAAAGGAATTTCAGTTTTTAAATCTTGTATTTATTTTTCTTTGTGATGTAACTAATGTCTAGACTTGACCACTATTAGCTCTTCATCCATTGGCACTCCCATCTTCGGACATTTGAACCAGGGCCTCACTGGCACCTACTAGGGCATGTAATTAAAAAACTTGTCCTTGAGCATAGAAGACAGAAATAGATCCTTTTCTTTTAGCATAAGTCTTCTGCCTTCTTACCTGACTTTGCTCCTGGTTGATGTCCTACAATACAAATAATTGACATGCCCATTTGTGTTTATAAATACTAGTGAGGTGACTTTACTTACGAGCAAGGTCTCTTCTTTGCAATAATTTGTAACTCTTTGGATCCTGCCTCCTTGTGGCAGAGGCCTTTCAGAGAGAGAGACCCACAGACCCACTACAGGTGTTCTGGGCACTTGAAGGGAGCAGGCAAGGACCCTCTGCCATTGCTGCTTTCACTCTGGGGGTGTGTGCCCACAGGGAGCTCCTAAGCCCAAGGTGGCCTCATGCTTCATCTGGCTGTTTTTCTCCTCTACCTTCCAAAAGTGGAAAAATAAAAGAGTATATCATAGGAAGTCTGATGTAAAGCCCATTAACGGCACCCTAGGTTTTCCAGTGTCTAACAAAGGCTAGTGGGGGCTTCAGGGAACCCAGGAAATGGCAGCATCTGAGCTGTGTGGCATGAGTCATCCCATTCTTCCTACCACGCGCTGTTGTTTAGTCAATGATTTCCAGAGCAATACCTGCGGTAGAACACTGTGTCTGTGCACAGGGGAATGAAGTCAGATTGCCCGGCAAGACCTCACCCATGGTTTGTCAGTTTACTCGCAGTGTTTTCCCAGTTTATAACGCTTGCCCTTTGCCTCTTTGCAAATGCCTTGGTATCTCTTGCATATCTCGAGAGCACAAGGACTAGTTTTCATGTTTCATTTGGTGAACAACATTTACCAAGTGTCTGACCTGCTGCAGGCGGCCCTCTTTGGGGCGGGGGATGTGGGGCCGCCAAGCTGGATAAGACACATCCTGCATGCGCATGCGTCAGAGTCTGCCTGGCCTTTTTTTTCTGTTTGCTGTCCCTTGGTTTCACTCCACTGGATGTGTCTCACTCAGCATGTGGTTTTTGATCTTCGGATAGCATCTGGCCTCTGTGTTCTTCATCAGCTTTTCTTATTTCTGCTCCACTTTCCATTTGTAGATCAGGCTTTTTAAAGACCATGGATCTCATGTACATGAACACCTCTTATAACAGTCTTTTCACTTGGCCATGATTCTCAATGGAAACCAAAGATCCAGAGGCCAGAACGACACAAGACCATCTACAAATTCACTACTGGTGTGCCCTTGGGCCTTCACATTTTACTTTAGGGTTAATTTATTGATTTTACTGTTAGACTTTGTGGGGTTGTTGTTGGTTTTTTGTTTTGTTTTGTTTTGTTTTTTACTTGAATTAAAATACTAGACCAAGCAGAAATGTACACTTTCTGGTCTGGGGTTTCCAGGAAAATCATTGGGAGGAGAGTAAGGATAGATGATATGACTTGAAGGTTTTGCAGTTTTCAGTTTCCCCCAGTATTGGGCCGAGCCCCCCTATAAAGCTGTTTGTGCGTACCAGTTCCTGTGTCAACAGTGTGTTTTCTCCAGGTCCACGCAGCGGGACAGACTCCCTTTGGCCCCCATAGTCCTCCTTTTCTCCAGAGAACCATGTCCGTGGTCGGCTGCGGCAGACGGGGGTGCTGCGTCTTTGGTTTTTGCTTTCACATCAGGCTCCGTTTCTCCCTCACCTCTTCCTGGCCCGACTACTGAGTTTGATGACCAGAACACAGAGATTTAGAAATTCAGTTCTCAAAGCAGGGAGGAAGGGAGGTTTTAGAGACAGCCTGCCAGCTCTTTCCCATCCTGGGTTGGGACTTTCCTGACCAGCAGAGACGCTCAGCTTCACCACTTCCATTGCTAGATCCAGAAGAATGGGCCTATGGTTTCTGGAAGTGTATGCATGATAAAATTATGTGGTAACCAATCCTGTGATGTGTGAAATTTTCTTCTGAAGGGATTTCAGGTTTTCATGGTCACAGTTTTGCATCTGGTATAGTGTACGTGATGCTTTTCCCCCAGTGTTGTCATAGGCCAGTGTCCTTCAGGGTTTGCTGGGAGGGTGGACCTGGGCCGTAGGTGGGATCATGCCACAGATTTGGTTCCATCTCCGCTCCAGCTGGAACCACAGAGCAGTAACCTAACAACTGTGTCACACAAGGGCCTGGCTTGTCACTACTGCTTTCACATCGTCATCTCCTCACTTGCGAGGGAAGAGGCCAGACTGAGAAAATGTCATACTCTCATAATCAAGCATTTCACAAGTTCTTCTTTTATTGCCACAATTGTGAATACAAACCGTCTGATTTGCTAAAGTTAGTCAGTTGTCCTTACTTTAAGCAGGCTAGCAGCCTAGGTAAGTTCAAAATGAATTTGTTGCCTGCTTTTTGTACTATTTCACAAGGTTTTTGAGAGGAAAAAGAAAAAACCAAAACCAAGGACGCAGTTTTGTCTTTGAGCTTTCCTTTTGTTTGTTTGCTTTTCCAGGCAAAGAGCCTGTAAGCCCTGTTTTCCAGTGCGTGTGATGTGACTTCCATGTATATAAAATGACGTGCCCTACCCACCTCCTCAGATTGTGCACTGTTTGTTTAAAATGACCCTGTATTTTAGTCCATTGCCATTGTATTGTTTTCATTTTATTTAAAACACTATGTATTTCTCATTCTTTTAACAACTTTTAAAGGGTAGTGATCTTAAAAAGGAAAAAAAAAATCACTGGATGACTAGGAAATATTTTTGTTGTTTTATTTTTTAAAGAGTACAAAGGTCCCCAAAGCCTTGTGCTCCTCTGACAGGGAGACATGCCAGCCCTGGTGTGGCAGCAGGCCTCGAGGTGGCGGGAACAAGGGCTCGGGACGGGGCGCAGTGAGGACAAAGCGTTGCCCAGAAGTAACGTCATGAAATGCGCAGCTTGGGTTTTTAAAAAGGAAAAAAAACCCAACCAGTTCTTTACATTCATTATTTGGATTTCTGTTTCCATTTAGTATTTAATGGTCTTTGGAGAAAAAAAATAATAAAACAGAGTGTTATATATATATTTTTTGGTGCAAGATAAGAATTTCTGTTTTTTGAAATAAGTCTGTAGCATAAAGGTTAAACTATTTTAAGACAAAATAAAATAGAGTGTATTTAAACAATGACACTTTCTGAGGACTGCTTGCTTTTCTTCCCTGACCTGCCACCTGCTTCTGCTCGTTCGATGGTGCCTGAAACCCTCCCGAGCTATCTTGTGTAGGTGAAGGTGGATTAGGACTTTTATCTCGTGGAGAATACACACGGCAGAACTATGCTGCCACAGCCATTTCTACCTGTACAATTTGCCCTTTGGAAACCACTGTATTCCAAAGTTTTTACTTGGGAAAAATATGTATTTATAATACTAAGGAAGGCAGCACCAACAACAGAATGGTGTTGCATCAGACCCATTTAAAGAGTGTACTTACATCGCTGCCATTTCGAAAGTTCTACATAGATTCGATTTGACTCAAGTGTCCCTGTGGAAACATCTACTGGTCGTAGGCTCTGGTTTCATATTGTGGGGAGTGAGGGTGGGCCTAGGGACTACTGCTGTATAAGGCATTCTCTGCACGCGGTGCTCTTGGCCTTGCCCCGTACAGTTCAGCACCATTGATTCTATTCTTGGGGTTCTGCAGCCATTCCCATCGTTTCTAGTGCTTCCTCCCTCATACACACTAACTCACCATTTCCCGCCTCACCCTTCCAGCTGGTGTCAGTCGGTCCGTACTGATGGTTCTAAAAGAGCTTGTTGCTCACGGCAGACATTCTTGACTAGGGGGTCCCAGGGGCAGTTGGGTGATGGAGGGGTGAGTTAAAGAGACATCAGACAAGAGAAAGCATGGAAGGGCTCACCTCTTCATAAAGACCAGAATGAGACCTTACTTTACAGACTCACAGACTCTGGCAAGGAAGCCACAGCAAGCATATGTGTGACAGGAAGGGGTTGCACTAGAGGCATACGTGTGATAGGATGGCACATACCTAACAGGATGGGCGGGCTCTAGAGCCTAACCTTGGTCATCTCTGAGCTGGCTTGACGTTAGGGTGTCTTTGAGCTCTTCTCCAGGGGAACAGTGTATGATCCTGATCAGAAGGGAGTGGGCCCTAATTAGGGTGGGGCAGACAGCAGGGTCTGGTTGCTTTTGATTGCAGGCAACCTTCAGGGCACGTAGCCTTCAAGCAGTTGACCTTCAAGCATACTGTAAGAGACCATGTGTTTGCAAACCACCTTAAATTTGGCATTATTATGGGGGACATTCTTAGGAAAAACTTTTACTTAGGAGAATGTGAGTGGGATGCATCTCCAACCCAAGAAGGCTTCCCTTCATGGGAGCCTGGCCTCCCAGACTCCTTAACATATGAATGTTGAGAGTTTGTCTGCACACACTCTTCCCAGTTCTGTTTCTCACACTATACTAGTTATAGTAAGGTATTGTTAAAATAACCTCAGGGGACCTTAAAGATCATCTCAGGGCAAATGTGGTGAAGAAAGTTGACGGTGCCAGGCTATCAAAAGATATAGCGTCTCTAGACTTAAAGGCTTGAAGGTAAACAAGCAGCCGTCCAGCTCCGAAGCAACAAAGCCCACGTGGAAGAAGCACATCAGCCTGGGTGATCATGAGGTGTCAGTGGAATCAGGATCAGGCATCAAAGACCCAAAACAAAACAAACAAAGCTTATCAATGGGAATGAGAGGGAGAACAGAGTGGAGACCCAAAGCCCATCAGTAGTCAATTGGACACCCCCTGTCAGAACGTCCACAGGAAGAGAAGAGCCAGCCAGGGTGCAGTAGAGCACCAATGAAACACACAACCTTCCTCTGGTTCTTTAATACTTCCTCCCACTCACCCCCACTACCACGACCCCACTTCTGTCTTACAAATCTGACTACACCAGAACATATATACTGGTACAAATAAGAACTTGAAACAGAGAATCCAGAGCAGATAAACCCCTCAGGACCAATAGGGAGCACTGATACGTGGGGGGTGGGGGGTGGGGCATATGGGAGAACTGATCACAATAATCGACCTATGTATGGCTCCCATCCCAGTGGGATGGACAGCAGAAAAGTGGGTGAAATGAGACAGCAGTCAGTGTAAGACATGGAAATATATATATATAAATTATCAAGGGGGCATGGGGGAGGGAGAGGGTTGGAAAATGAGATGATGCCAGGGGCTCAAGTAGAAAGAAAATTTTGGAGATGATGAGAACATATGTGCCGATGTGTTTGACCCAATGGATATATATATGGATTGTGATAAGAGCTTTAAGAGCCCCCAATAAAATAAAGATCATCCCAGGGCAATAGTTTCAGGCGTTCATCCTGCTTCTGCAGCTCCAGAAAGTGTGGAGTAAGAACTAGAAGCTATGACAAAGGAGGCAATTGTTCACGAAGGCCGTTAGCCACCCACTCCCCATCCTTTTCATCCAGGTTTTCCTTCTTGGCTGCTACTCTTGCCAGCTTTTAAGACCCCAAGCACTAAAGAACATGGTAGGAAGTAGAATAGGAGCCCCGGACATGCCATCAGACCATTTAAGAAGTGATTATGTTCTATTAGCACTTGTTACAAGATGCCTGGTTTTTCTCAGCAGCCAGTGTAGCCCCCAAAGTCCTGCTCCCAAAATGTTTCCCAAGTGGCCTGTGGGTTACAGTGTTTCAGATGGGTGAGGGGAAAAGTAATATGCATTTGCCCTCACAGAGCTTCCCCTCCCTCCCTCCCCAGCCAGACCAGGTTAGGGACAGTTGCTCTTGGGAAGGAAAGGCCAGTCACATCCCAGAAAGGACAGTGGTGTGAGACCACACAGCTCCATGCCCTCGGCTTGCAATTGAACACCAAAGCAAATGGAGGTTGGGCCAAAAATGGCCTTAGAGAACCTTTCCGTAGATTTGGTTCTCTCTCGGGAGTTATTTGCCTATTCAAATGATAGTAACCAGCTGCCTTAAGATCATTTCAGGACTTGTAATTTGTCTGCTTGTAAACGAGAAGGAGCAACTCGCCAGAGCTGTCTTTGTTAAGACAGCAATGCCCTGCATGTCTTAATTTTCTGCAAGACATTGACTGCCAAGGCCAGGAGGTCCACCAGTAATGCAGGTAGCAAGTAGGTCATGGTCTTTGGTGGTGGGTTTTAAACAATTCCTTTAACACCACCTGCGTCGGCGACATAGACATAAGATTCTCCTGGGGCCTGGAACAGGGTCCCCCGGAACCTGCCTCTATGAACTCATGCCCCCTGAGTGTTGCCTTAGCGCTCAAGGCCTGGGAGGTACTGGATTTTGTAGCCAGCCTTCACCCCACTGAGGTTTCTTTCTCCTCCTCTTTGCAGGCTTTTGCCCTGCCTTTGTTACCGGTGGATTTCTGCAGTAGATACTAGCCATTTATAACTGTAGTCCAAACAAAACAAAGTCACTGGGAAACCTTGCTCGACTCTATACATTTGCCTATCTCGTCGCCAACTTTACAGTTACACCAAGGGGCTCTCTCTCGGCCTTGGGACCATGCTAAGTGATCTGGGAAGGAGGGCGCCTCCTGAGTCAGCGGTGGGTATGATGGAGGGTATGAGTTTCCTTCCTCACCTCCACGCATGAGAGCACGGATTGGCGGGTTAGAACCTCCTGGGCTACAGCAGAGAAGCCCCTGGTGGCAGAGTGGGTTATGCATTGTTGGACCGCTAACCACAAGGTCAGCAGTTCAAAACCACCAGGCGCTCCCTGGGAGAAACATGAGGCTTTACTCTTCTGTAAAGAGTAACAGCCTCAGAAACTCATAGGGGCAGTTCTACCCTGTCAGAATTGACTCTGGCAGTGAAGTCTTTGGGGTTTTTTATGGGGGGGGGCGGGGGGGCTGGAAGGAGCTTCCTGGAGACCAAAAAGAGACTGTAGTAGGTGATGGGAGGAGCAATGAGCTCAGGAATAGCCCCCTGTGGTGACCAGGGCAGTCTAGAGATGCCTCAGGGCCAACATTCACTGGGCAGTCACTGGCATGGCTGTTGGTTCAGGTCAGCATTGTCACTTTGCTGTGGCCTCCTTGTAAGGTGGACCTGCTTCCGGCCCTTACACCACTCCTTTCTGCCAGGCCTTGAGATCCCACTGTGTGTGGGGATGTGAGTTACGTCAGCGTCAGCGGGGAAGGCTGAGCCTGGACAGGAGGCAGAGTGGCAACCAGGAGGGTCACCTGCTTAAAGATCTGGCCTGCCTGTGGGGACACCTCCTTGGTTATAAGGAACATATGCCACTCTGGCTTTGTATTTTTTTTGTGAGAGCTTTGGGTACGAGCCTTTTCCTTCATGCCCTGGACACTGACCCTTGAGACAGAGGCGTTAGGGCTGGTCCCTGCTGATGCGTGAAGGGGAAGTGTTGCCTCTGTGAAGCCTTCCTTGGGGGTTGGTGGTGAAAACAGGCAGCCTGAAGTCGAATGACCTTGCCAGCCTGAGGGGCTCAGACCAGAGTGGGAATAGGAGACCCCGGTCTACTGTGAGACCGCAGACAGTTGAGACTCTAAGGGGTTTGCTGTCTGTACCTGTGAAATGAAGCACCTGGATTCCTGAGGCAGGAGACCAGGATATACTGTTCTCTGGGGGTAATTTGCTATTCTGCTGAGCCACCGGGCCATTCCAGCAGGTTCTCTTGATAGCATGGAGTAGATTCCGACTCCTAGCCACCCTGTAGGATAGGGTAGAACTACCCCTGTAAGGTTTTGAGAGTTACAGGAGTAGAAAGCCCCGTCCTCCCTCGGAGCGGCTGGTGGTTTTGAACTGCCGACTTTGAGGTAAGCAGCCCAACATAAAACCACGATGCCACCAGGCCTCCTTAGGAGAGCTCAAAACTGAGAGACTACGATTTGCATGGTGTCCCTTACACTTTTTGGAAGGGGATAGATTTTTAACACTCAACCTGGGATTTCTACAAGGGTGCGTATTGTCAAAATTATGAAAGAATTTTTGTCTCAAAACTTGCCCGTGAAGCGTGGAAGCATACAAATGAGAGTCCTGATTTTTGTTGATCGGTAGGCTTGACAACAGAATGAAAGACAACCAATCCAGGTTTACACAGTTAGATTTGAGCAAACAAAATATTAACCCACCACCACCTAGGACTCAAATGAGGACATTGTAGCTTTAAAAGGGAAAAA